ATTAGGTTTCCGTTTTAGGCAGATGGACATCTGAAATTAACAAAAAAAGAGAAACAGAGGAAAGAAAAAAGAAAAAGGGGGAAAAAGTAAAGGAAAAATCCTTGAATTGACAAAGAAAGAACTACTTTCCTACTAAATGTCACCCCAGGTCCCCTCTGCCCCCCCAAAACAAAGGTGGGTAAATATTCTGGGCAATCTTACCAAGTTAGCAAAATGTTTAGTTCTCATCATATGCAGTTGGGACTTGAAAAATGTGTAAATATTTACATAAAATGTAAAGGTGGGACAGGAATAGGTCGTACACTGTCACTGGTAACACAGAGGCAATCTGCCATCATTCCCAAGGCCTTCGTGCTGCCTTTCCTAACATAGCTCCAAGTGTGTCAGAAGTTATCTTCTTTCCCAAGGAAATGTCAATTTTTGCATCCAGCCCTGACTTCTGAACTGCAAGTATCTCTGATAGGGTCATATGTCACTGGAGCTTCTCCGACACCCAGACAGGGAAAGGAGAGGAACAGGAAGGCAGAAGTAGGGTCTGCTGTCTGAATCACCGATTTTGACAAATCTATTCCACCTTCTATTGTTTCTTATACATGAGGGTGGGGACCATGTTCACTGTATGCTATGTTCTCTACCTCATGCCCAGTCATTGCCCCAGGAATACATTATGTACATATGATGGCAAAGAAGAAAAAAAAACACCCTTATACAGTCAGGAAAAGACACATTGCCTTCAGATGAAATTCTTTCTAACATAAAATGAGAACCGTCCTCTTCTGTGGAATGGGCACAATGCCTACTCACAGGGTTGCTTTGAAGAGTCAATGAGTGACATACAGGTAACATTTATTAGCACTGTTTCTGGCATATGGCAAGCATTCAATAAATCATAGCTTTTATTTTAGTGGGTCTTTTCAAATGTCCAATTTTCATGGAGGTCCCCAAGTATAATATTAAATAGCCAAGTTACCCCATCTGGTCAATAACAATAAATAAAGGGCAGGTAGTTCAAAAGCTATGAATGATTTACCTGCACAGGATTACGTGGTGCCCATGGTATTAATTTTTTGGCCTTTCAACAGTGTATCCTCTATTAAAAAGAAAGCTATCAATCCTTGAGTGGAACTCAATGTTGATTTCAAGTTTTGCTTTTCTTTTATCTTTCCATTTCCCCAACAGCTGTAACTTGTAACCACTCATTTGGTGGAGACTCACAAATCATCTACTATGTGCCAGGCCTTTAGAAAATAGTCAAATTCAGAAAATATCAAACAGTAAGACATATTAGCCCATTCAGTGGGAAAACCTGCCCGCTGGCTCTACCTCTGACATATGTTCTCATCCAACATCTAAAAAATTTTTGAGCTAATATTTAAAAATCAGGGGATTCCACATAAAAGTCCATATAGCCAGGTTCCCTTGGAAAACCTGGAGAATGTGGCAACACAAAGCCAACATTCCCACCCATTCCCCCTGACAAGAAGAAGCAGAGACAAAGTAGCAGTTCCCTGACACTCCACCCTATGCCTCCCTTCCTTACCAGGATCAGTGGGGAAGGAAAAAAAACCCCAAAAACGAAGGGTTTCGTGTTCACTAACTATTGAAGATTTCAAGGAGACAGCAGTTGGAGATAAAACCAAGGGTGAGGTCCTTTTGAGCAGATGAGGGGAGGGCAGCCTTGTGCAATGGTGCAACTCACAGGCCATGAAGCTGGTCCTGCTCCCCAACTCCTCACCAAACAGGAACGGTACTTATTTATCTAAGTGTTCTGTCTTTTATTCAACATCAAGCCAGCATTTACACCAAGCCAGATACCATGGCCCCTGAAACCGGAGGTACAAAAAGTAGGGCAGTGGAGCCCCGCACGGCTGAGCTAGAGAGCCACTGGGATCTGTCTCTTCCCTTGTTAAGGCTGGATCCATACCAGGGACACTAAGCATGCGTTAATCCACGGAAAATTAAACTGCTCTCGACAATACCGATTGGTCTGAGCCCTTTTGTTGGCATCACAGGAGTCTCGACCACAGATTCTAAGGAGCAGCTCACAAGCGCTAATGAATAAGTCCCCTCAGCTGTGCAGACAGTGAGCCCACAAGTGAGGGGCTGGTCTAGGAGAGATTTGAACATGAACCTGACCATCTGGCTCTCTGCGACTCACTTTGATCACAAAATGAATTGCAACAAATTGAAGAGCACATGGCTAGAGTTAATTGTCTCATCTGTAATCTGAACCTACTTTTAAGCAGTTATTATTACCCTCTATCAGGTGGAAACGTTTCCTACCATCACTGCAAAGTGCATTTTCCTGATGAACTGTAATGGATCATTAAATTCCATATCTGAATAACAATACTCTGCACTCATGCAGTGCCTTTCATCCAGGGATTTCAAGGCAGTTTGCAAATAATTAAGCCCCTCATACGGCAGCCAGAGGTGAGGGACTGGACAGAACTTGCCTGGAGACACTGAGTTAAAGGCATAATTCAATAGAAAGAATAAATGGCTTCCTCCGAGGCACTAGTGATACTGAAAAGTGAATTGTGTGTGTGTTGGCGGGGGCTGTCCAGATTTCCTCCCTCACTTTCTGCCTTACTCCTTCTCTGTGGCAGATCCTCACATGCAACACAAAGACCCGAGAAATAGTAACAGGGGTGGTTCATAATTTAGCTATGAGTTCAGACATACATATATATGAGGAGATTGTTTCTTGATAATATCCTGGCATATACAATACGAACTGACATTTCAATCCACCTGCAGAATCGACAGATACCAGAAGAATTAACTCAACACATTTATGATTACCAAATGGCAACTCTAAAAGCCTTCCAAAATCCAAAATGAAGATACTGTTCGTGTTTTTAAAAGTACTTTATCCCACGATTGTGAATTCCATTTCTGGGACCCGGTATGAATAATTTTCACGTTTCTGGGAATAGCAAATATAATGGAAGTGGGCAATCAGTGCATTTTTTAAACCAGAACACTAAAAGGGAAAAAACATTTCAGCCACTCAAAGTTTTGTGGTGAAATTATAAACTCCTGAAAAACTGAATTTATAATGGAAATGCTGACAGACCTTTCACTGGAACAGTTTGAATGCAACACTGTAATTTAGCAATCTCGCTTACAGACTAAAGACTAATTCTAACAAGATGTCATTTTGACTCATGTTTATTATTACCTGCAAGAATGAAAAATGCCGTTTACTCGAGAGCTCCTGGAGAACTAGGGTGGGGCAATCTCACATTTTAAGCAAGACTTTTTCTGCTTTACCAAAATAGCCCTCTCCGCTGAAGGAGTGGCAGCCTTTCACGCTCAGCTTCTTTCATGTCAGCCAGAGCCTTCGCAGCTAGACATGCCTTTCCTACATGTTACATTTTAATGATCTGAGAAAACCGTTATCAGAGTTAACATCTCTAATTTTACTCTAAACAGACAAAAGCAAAATATCTCATTAGGCATCATCTCCGCCAAGGTTCCCACTAGGCAGGAAAGAATTTTTATCTAAAGTAATTACCCTTTAGTTAAATACACTCAACAGATTCAATATACACAGAGTGAGAGACTGCAGCACTAGACAGAGAAAGTGAAAACCGAGGAACTCCGCGGCTCGCTATCCGCGGGTCCACCAGGAGTCTGTGGCTCAGTCGGGAGTAGGGAGCCCTTGTCTCTCTCAGTTTCCAGGGTCCACGGGTACCCGCGGTCGCGAGCTTCTCTGGCCACTAAGCCATCCTAACAGCGGCTGGGCTGGAACTTTCCCCAAGTTGTCAAACTCGCCCACACACGAAAGAGTGCCGGGGATGCCCCGCGTACCCACGATCCCTAAAGCCAAGGGTACGCGGCCATTTACACACACACACACACACACACACACACGCACGCACGCACGCAGGCACGCACCCGGCCCTGCCTGCTTCCTCCCACAGTCCGAGTTCCTGCAAATCCTCGGCCAGCCCGAGGTCACCGAGATCCTCACTAGAGTCCCCTCTCGCGGGCAGCTGGGGTAGCCCATGAGCGCCGCCAGCCGCCCTCTCCACCGGCGCTGGGCTCCTGAGCACCGACCGGGTGAGAGAACTACAAGAACCACAGAGCTCTTCGCATGGGGAGGTGGAGAAGTGTCCCCTAGATAAACTCCTTTCCTTTGGTTAAGCTTTTGGGGCTGAGAGAAGGAAGTGTGGCAGGGAGGAAGGGGTGTATGTTGCACTTTAATTTTATGCAAAATCTTGGAGTAAGGGATATGCAAGTTTTTCCTCTGTGACAGCACGAGCCCCTTGGTTTACCTTCCCAGGGACGCATTCCGATAACCCGGTCATTGACCAACAGGGATCCCGTCCAGCGTGCAGCCCGAGGTCTGCGCTGCGGAGCCCCAATTTGCCTCTTCTCGGGACTCTCAAGTTGGGCTTTGACGCCCCGCCAGTCGCAGTGGCTCTGGCTACCCGGCGGCTACTGACAGCTGAGCGCAAAAGCGTGGCGGCCGCGGTCCTCACCGAGCAGCCCCGGGCACGCACGCCGCGAGCAGGTTGGAGGCCGTCCAGTCCCGCGCGGAGATCGCGGGCTGGGGGCCGGGGCGCCCGGGCCTCGCCTGGCCGGGAGCAGGGCCGTGGATCTGACAGCTGCTCCCGCTCGGGCGGACGCGCGCCTCCCTCCAGCCCGCCCTCCGCACGCCTGACTTATTACCCTCTGCTCCTCCTCCCCCTACTGTTCCAAAACACCCGTCGACGCGAACGAAATACAATGCCGCCTCGCCCGCCGTAAACAGCCAGGCGAGAAGGCGCACATTCGCCGCGGCGCGTCCGCCAGCTCGGCTCCCACCGCCTTCCCGTTCCTAGAAAATGCCATAAAAGCGGGCAGGGCTCTCGGCCGGCGGCTGCGCGCCGGGCGATCGCGGCTCCCTTCCCGCGCCGCTTCCCCACGCCTCCCCGCGCACCCACTGTCCCCTCAAACTTGCCCCGACACCCCGCCCGGCGGCTTGGCCCGGGACCGGGGATTCACCTCACCAGAGAACTTTGCGTCCTTTTCCGCCTCCTCTTCTCTGCGTCTTCTCAGCCCGCAGCCCCCTCCCGGCGGCCGGCGCGGTGGGCGGTTCGGGGGTCACCGAAAGCTCGAGGAGAGGACGCGCATCACATGGCAGCTCGTTCCCAGCTCCCCGAGTGTGGCGTGAAGGGGGAGGGGAAGGGTCGAGGGGAGGCCGGGGGGAAAGCGAGAGCGCGGCGGCAGCGGGAGTGGGCAGGAGGGTGGCGAGGGCGGCGGTGGGCGCTCACGTTAGCGCTGCTGCGATCGTAGCCCGGGCGTGCACGGTCGCTGCTGCTGCTGCTGCTGGTGAGGCGGCGGCGGCTCGGCGCTGTTTGCTCCGCGCGGCGCGGCTCGCGCTCTCCCCGGAACGCCCACACTCTCAATCGCTACATTGTTGACATTCGGCACTGACGTCACCCGCTCCCCATTCACAATAACTTTACGGGAGCCGGGCAGCGCACCTCCCCGGCCGCTGGGGCGCCGTACGCCTGGCGACTAGCGTAAGCCGCTCCGCGAATGGCGCTCCGGGGGCTGGGGCCGGGGGCGGGGGCGGGCACGCGCGCTCCGCCGGCTCGCGGGAGGGGGCGCGCCTCTCAGTGCTGCGGCCGCCGCTCTCCAGGCTTTGTGCGGCCGCGCGCCGGTGGAGCCCCCTGCTCCGGGCCCAGCTGACCGCCTGGCTCCGTCTGGCCCGGCTCTGGACTTGCAGGGGCCTTGAAAGGCAAGGGCTGGGGTCTAGCGGAGTGGGTGGTGTGGTGAGGGCTGCTAGTGTGTCACGTAGGGAAGGGGGCAAAGTCCCGGGCACTACACCCAGGAAGGGGAGCCAGACCTCCAGACTGGACATTACTGGGTTGTGCGGCGTTTCCCAGGAGGGGCAAGAAAAGATGCAACACAGGCCCCCAACACAGCTGACCCTTTGGGAGGGGGTGGGGCGAAGAAGAGTAGCTCTAACCCAATGTCGATGTTGACGTTTGAATCCTTTCGGAGGACTTGGCTTGTCCCACTGAAGGAGCCTCAAAGCCCCCACGCAAGGGTTTTAGAAGGGGCGCAAGCAATTGCGAAGCATAAATGAAAAGCCAGTCTCCCCAGCTTCGGACCCAGCCCCGGACCCAGCCCCTACTGGGTTCCAGCCTCTTTTCTGCCTCTGTGGAGGCTGCCAGGGTGGTGCTGCTGCACTTTAAGGCCATCGTGTGGCTGTCCTGTCAGAAGAAAGCTTGATGGTGGTTAAGATTTTACAGAAAGTAATTAGGACTTAGACTGAACGAACATTTGCAATAAAAGAAGGTTGTGTTAGTGTAGTGCTGGTGCCTGCAAATTTACCCTTGCCAAAGCCAGGAAATTCTGCCACGTTTCCCTGATCACCTATAACTCGGTCCCCTGGTGTACAGGCAGTATTCCATATTATTATGTGTGGTGCTGATTTTTAATGAATATTATAAAACTTTGGCTCGCTCTACTGAGAGAAGGATCATAAATCTCCCCTCCGCCATAAAATGGGCACAGGCATATGCTGAGGAAGCAATGAAGCATTGCCCTGGGAGTCTTGTGGTATCAGCCAGAGTGTTGCTCTGACCCACCTTCGTTTGTAGGCAGGGTTTTTAAAAGGCCCCGTTTTGAATGTCTGTGTGGAAAGCTAAGCGATGGTGGAAAGGAAGCTGAAGGGCCAAGTTCATTTATCTAACAGCATTGTAGAGCCTCCACCTGTAGAGCCACACTGGGAGATTTTTCTCTGCTGGCCTCTCCAGTTTTCAGGTGAGGAAAAATCTCAGGGTCTTCTGGCTTTGGGTCCAGTGCCCTGTTTGATGAAACACCCTGCTTCTGAGCTCCCTATCTGGCCCCCTGACAAGGACAGAGAATGCTGATCCCTGGTTTGCCTTGGCAAGGCCATTTGTTATAATGTGATGAATGGTGATATTTCCGTATTCTTCATTCTCCTAAGTATGTGAGTATCAATGTGATAACTTTATGCATTTTAATAAACACTGCATGCTTTCCTCACAAGAGCCGGACTTGAGAGGATGGTCATGTAAGTTCATTTCCTTTCAAGCAGGCTATGGCCCCGTGGCTGTGAGTGGAGTCAGGCACCACAGTATTTGGGGGCGGGGGGATGCTACTGCAAGCTGGTTTTGCCACCTTGTTTCTGGTCCCAAAGGGATACAACAAAGGCTGTGTGGTCATTTCAATTCATCTACCTGCCAAAGACTCAAACCAGAGCTTTTTTAGTTTGAACTTCTCAAGTATGAGATGGGACAATAATTAAAGATGAAAAAATCCGAATGCAACTATGATAGGTTGTATTATCTACTCATTCAAGGAGGTTGAGTTAGAACTAGTTGCCCTCTAAGGACGCATCCAGTACTGCAATCATGTGCCTCTCTGGCTGGAGATAGGACAAAACCTTTGCCTTAGAGGAGTTTGAAGTGCAATAGGGAGTTAGTCATTTCATTTTATTTTCAATAGTTAGAAGTGGGTTGAGTTAAATCCTGTAAAAACATATTTAGAATGATCTTAAATTAGGATGGTAAGTCAAGTACTAGACACTGTGTTAACATTATGACCACAGAGGTGAGGCTGTGGTTGCCCTTAGCATTCTCGTCGAGAATGTTTGCTGGCCATTCCCTGGGTTTGTGGTGCTCTTCTGGGCACTTCAGGCAATTACAGTGTGAGACATATTTAGGTCCTTCCCTCTGTGTATTCATGGCAATAGAAGTCAACTTATTTTCCCTGCTGGCAACATTCATCCTTCTCTGATATACTTTTTCTTTTCCTACATAATTACATGTATATGCTGGTCCAGAATATGAGCTTCATCATAATACATTTCTAAGCAGGAAATGATTTCCAAGACAATGACTTTGTATCATGGCATTGAAGTCAGTAAACCTTTTTCTATAAATCACCTTGATTTTATAAAATAAAATAGGAAAAAATTAAAATAGCCAGGAAACAAAAAGACGAAGAACGGAAGATGACAGATGCAAGCAGTTCTGGGTTCTTCAGTTTCCTTGTTGTCCAGGACCCTGTTACAGCATCTGTGATGGTTTTTCTTAGGCAGGAAGGTAGGCAGAATTTTGAATGTGGCACCTTGAGTAGGTCATAGTGAGACAAAGTTAATATCCAATGAGAGAGGTCAGAGTGGGATGTTCAGAGGGAGAATGCCAAAACCAGGAGGAGCCAACATATTGAAGGAAGTTCTGTTAAGAAGAAACTGAATTTTACTCACTGGGCAAATTCCTCAGAATTACAACTAAGGTTTTTTATTTCAAAACCAGATGTTTTGAAGTGTGCCTAAACCATAAAATCTCAGCTAGTACTGCACAGGTGACACTTGGGAGAACTGATGAAATTTGAATACTTTCAAGTGGTGATTTGTTCAACAATTGTGGGGCCACCTATTATGTAGCAGGTGCTGTTCTACAAGATGGGATGTAGAATTCTCATTTTAGTGATGAGATGGGGATAAGGAGGGAGACAGACAATAAGCCTTGCCTACCTATCTATCTAGCTATCTATCATGTTACCATATACCATATAGAGTATAGAAGTAAAGAGTGTTATTAAAGCAAAGTAGAAAAGGAGCTCAAGTGTAATGGGGTGGAGCCATTCTTAGGTAGGGTGGTTGCGTCAGGGAGGACATCCCTGATGAGAGGGCATTTGAGCAGAGATATAAATGAAGTGAGGGAGCAAATTCTGCAGCTACACTGAGGAAAAGCTTTTCAGATATGAAGAAGAGCAAGTGCAAAGACCCTGGGGTAGGGTGGACTTGGCTTGCTCCGGGAACAGCAAAGAGGCCACTGTGTCTGATGGAGAAAAGCAGGAGAAGATGCCAGAGGGATATCCGACAGGCTTATAGTTTAGGGGGAAATGGAAGACATTTATAGGGGTTTCTGCAGAGAAAGCACATGACCTGAACTTGACTCCTGAAAGATCATCCTATTTGCTAAGTGAGAGAGAATACAAGAGTGGAAGCATGGAGACTTGGTAGAGGATATTGAGATAAACTAAGAGAGAGGTGACAATGATAACTGTAAATGGAATCTAGATATATATTCAAAATAAACCAGACAAGACATTTATTCAGTTGTGGGGTATTCAAAAAAAGGAAATTTGAGGATTTCAGCCTGAACAGCTGATTGATGGAGATTCTACTTACTGATATGATGAAGGCTGCAGAAGGAGCAGGTGTTTGGATTTGGATATAGTAAATTCCTGATGCCCATCAGACATATAAGTGGAAAAGTTGAGTAGGCAATTAGGCATGGGAATCTGAACTTCAGGAGAGAGGTCCAGACTAGAGATAGATAATCTGTGTCATCAGCATAGAGAATCTGGGAATGTGGGTGCGAAAAAGAAGAGATCTGAGGATTGAGATCTGGGGCACTCTAATATTTAGAGGACAGAAGATGAAGAAAATGAAGATCTGGCAAAGGTGGCTGCGAAACAGCAACCAGTGAGAGAGACAAAGAGGGGAGTGCTGCATCTTGGGGCCAAGTAAGAGAGAATGTTCTGAGAAGCAGGGTATAATTGGTTGCGTCAATGCTGCTGACGGGCCAAATAACGTGGGAACACATCAATGACTTTTAAATTTGTCTTCGAAGGAGTGGTAGGAACTAAATCTGTCTGGAGTGGGTTTGAGAGGGAGACGGAGAGAAGTGGAGGCAATGGATGTAGACCTCTCTTTAGAGGAGCTTTGCTGTGAAAGGGAAAATGGGGAAATGGGTAGAGGGTCATGGTGAGAAACTAGAGCTTGTTGGTGGGAATAATCCCGTCAAGAAGGAAAACCGTTAATGTAAAGAAGGGTAGATAACTTCAGGAGTGAAGTTCTTGAGTCAGAGTGGATCTTATTTAAGGGGTAGGGCCAGTTCATACCCAGCAACAGCAGGGAAGTTATGGCAGGGATGTTCGGGGGGGGGGGGGTGGCTAGATTGTGGTGGTGAGAAATGTGGGGTGTCCTCGTCAGAGTGATTCTGTTTTCCTAGTGGACTAAGAAATGAGATCAGCAATTGATGGTGGAGGAGGGAAAGCTATGGAGGAGGGAAAAGGCGTGGACCGGGGCAGGGTCATGTAGCAGGGTTGCTGGGTCCCACAGAGGAAATCCGAGGGTTACTACTAGAGTCTATGGGTGTGCCTCTGCCAAGAAAAGTGATTTCTCATTGTACAAAATCTCACCCAAGTTTTGGGAAAAGAATTGGTGTATTCTGAACTAGAGAGCATTGTCATTTTTCGGTGTAACTAGAATCATGCAAAAATTTTGCTCCTAGCTCTTGTTAAATTGGGATGGCAACCCTTTTAACTACCTATTTTTCTTATTCCATCTTTATCTCCCCTAAAGATCCCTCAGTTCCTAAGAGGGACTTTGGAAATAGTATTTAACAGGAAAGGATGTTCTCACATCACTATCTACAGTGATATAGCCCAAGACCTGCTTTTACAGTGTAAAGGATAGATGCCACTATGATCTAAAAATTTAAGTGATATAAAAGAAGCTAAT